AGAGAGAGAGAGACTGAGAGAGGGAGTGAAAAGGAGAGAGGGGGGGACAGACAGACAGAGAAAGTACTCACCCATAAGAAAATAGGTCCACAGTGACGTACTGTGATCCCACAAACAGAGCCCACAGACAGTCAGACAAACGAAAGGAAAGAAATAGAAAGAGAGAAATGGAGAGACAGTTAGACTGACAGACAGACAGGCAAACAGACAGACAAACAGTACTCACCCAGATGGAATAAACATGCAGCTATCAGGGTCCACGGTGACGTACTGTGACCACACGCACAACGCCCACAGACAGACACACACACACACACACACACACACACACACAGAGAGAGAGAGAGAGAGAAAGTACTCACCCAGAAGGAATAAACATGCAGCTGTCAGGGTCCACGGTGACATACTGTGACCACACGCACAACGCCCACAGGCATGGCGTGTTGCGGGAACAGCTGCTGGGTCTGTCGTAACTACGCACCTCGCGGGGCAAGTACTGAAAAGACAAGAAAGCCAAATCCGTTAAAAAATGTATAATTACATTTTTAAAATGCGAACCTCACTGAAAATAAAAGATCAAAATTAGTAAACTTTACTTTTATCCGCCGCTTATACCCTTTTGGGTGTCGCAGGAAGAAAGAGACGTCTCTCTGCCACTAGCCGGAGAGCTTGGGTCAGGGGGATGCCATGAGTTGTCAATGTTTCCCTGACTCCATCTATCCAGGTCTTTCTCGGTTGCCCTCTAGCCTTGTTGTTATCGAATTTTTTTTTAATGTAGGCATGTTGTGCAGGGTGGTGTGTTGGTAATCGCATGAGATGTCCGAACTATAATTAGTAAATAAATTATGAGTAATTATCATATCAAATGATGAAGAATGTTATAGCTGCGCGCCCTCAGGGCAAGTACTGAAAACAATGAGACAAAGTACATTAAACAGGACACACAAAAATTCAGTACTTTCGTGCACGTAAGATGACGAACATTATCGATGAAAAGCAAGTATCTCTCCATAGGAAAAGGGAAAAGAGGGGGAGGGAGGGAGTAAGAAAGCTTGTCAGTTACCGTGAAGTGGTCAGGGATTTGACGTCTCACAGAGATGAGATCTAATTATGAAATTTCACTACATTAGAATGAAAATGTTTTTTCTGACATTTTTGGTCGTTTCGAGATAGTAAGACCATGAGGTCAGAATCTAATTATGTTCTAACAGCTTTATCAATATCGTAAGATTATTCGGAGTTGTTGTCCAGATATTCAAAGAATTGCATTCGGAAAAAAGCTTGATATGTAATGAAACCCAAAATGTTTTACGTCAAATTTCTCAAAACTAGACACTGAGCAGATAGAGCTTGTAATTCTGGGGTAGCGATTTGTTGGGTCTAACAATGTAACATTCATCTTTCCAGAATGAGACTCCCCTTGAGAGAAATGTCTATAGCAGTCTCTCAGATTTGAAGCGGACTGCACAGTTTGTGCGCGACATCAGACTGACTGTCTAGCTCTGCTGTCGTCGAAAACGAGGAAAAACTCATTTTTTAACCCATCGAAGATGTGCTGATTGGTGCACTTTAAAAAAGAGAGACATAAGTTCGTAATTTATTCGGAATGTTTGGGTCTGTTTTAACTACGTTTCAAAAGGTAGGCAATGCATCGTATGTGATGAAATATTATGTGAAGAGTCCACGGGAGATACCGACATTGTCACAAACTGGAAATTGTGAGGGTGTCAATTTTAAAAGCTTGTGGACTCATAACTTCATAACATGGTTGATTAGTGGTTTATTGTTATGTTAATTGAATGGGAAATCTAACAACAATAATCATCCAACAGGTGAACAGATATAATATACTTATGAGCCAAGAATCGTTCAAAATTGATAAACTCGCGATTTTCAGTTTGTGACTATTCTCATTTTTCCCGCAGACTCCTCATGCAAATTCATGTTTCTGATTAAAAGGTAGAATGGTTTGGAATGTACCACAAGTATTGCCTTTAGTCTGCTTCTGGTCGGTCATAATATATGTGAAAAGTGCTGACAAAGTGAGTTACTTCTCTGATTCATGCCTTAAGAAAATAGACACATCACTCTTAGGTTAAGTTTTTACAATTTATATCATGTATGAAATACTCGTTAAAAAAACAAGTTATAGTTAAAGAATATGACATTAATGGAACACAGACAAATTTGACCCTAATGTCGATTTTTTGCCAGTGTCTCCATTTGTGGATTGCGAAAAGTAACTCATTTTGTCAGCACAACGAGTTTAAAGAGTTAACATGTCCTTTGTTTGACCTTGTCTCAACCGGCTTTGACAGTGTGAAGTACTTCTGGATAATTATTTTTTCCATGTAGGGGGTCAATCTCAAGTCTTCTGCGTGCAATGTGAAAAAATAAGTGTCGCACTGTAGGCGTTATGATCAGTTCGTTGTTTTTTTAAGCAGAATTAATGGAGGCAGGATAACGTAGAGGCATAGGTAGAATAAACTGAGTCAGGATAACATAAAGGCATAGGTAAAATATAAGCTAAAGAAAGATATTGATGGAAACAGAGAAAGAGAAAATGAAAAGAGAGAGGGAGAGAGATAAACACAGAGAGAATGAGAGAGACAAAGAAAGAGAAAGAGACACACACACACACACACACAAACACACATATATATATACATGCAGAGAGAGTGAGTGAGAGAAAGAGACAGAGGCAGAGAGAAGTAACGAAGGAGAGAGAGAAAGAGAGAGGCAAAGAGAGAGATAGAGAACGAGAGAGGGAGAGGGAGAGGGAGAAAGAGAGAGAGAGTGGGGGACGCAGAGAGGGAGAGAGAGAGAGAGAGAGAGAGAGAGAGAGAGAGAGAGAGAGAGAGAGAGAGAGAGAGAGCGTCAGCGAGAGAGACAAAGAGTGAGAGAGAAAAATCAGAGATCGGGAAAGGAGGGAATCACGAAAACTCGACTGACACCACGAATAAAGACATTTAATATCAATCAATTACGACCATCCTTAGATAACCGTTTATGCAACGAGCTGGCAGTAGCTGAAGCCACGAGTCTCTAAATCTGTGGCGTGGGTCATCAAGAGGCGGAAACTCTTTCCACCTGGGTGTGGGTGTCCTTTGAGGACTTCTCCAAACACGACATTTGCTCATCATAGCCCGATCTAGGATGTGGGAGATGCGTCATAGGAGAAAGACGGACATATTTGATCTTCTTCACGTGGAGCTCGAACTCTAATCTTTTGTGCGTAAAGTACATGGACTAAAGTTACTCTACAGAAGCCATGTTCAGTACGAACATAATATAGTCTCTTAGGATGGGGTAGTGAAGAAAGATAAAGGTAGAGTAGAATCTAAGCCTATCAAAGGTAAAGCGAAAGCGAGAAAGAGAGAATGGTGAAGGGATAGAAAGTGAGTAGGGGAGAAAGAGAAAGACTGCAATTGAGAGAGTGGAAGAGAGAGAGAGAGAGAGAGAGAGAGAGAGAGAGAGAGAGAGAGAGAGAGAGACAGACAGGCAGACAGACAGACAGACAGACAGACAGACGGACGGACGGACAGACAGACTGACAGACAGCAGACAGAAAGACAGACATGAAGACAGAGAGAGCGAGAGACATACGGACAGGGACTAACTGGGGGTGAAAGAGAAGAAGGGAGAAAATGCTAGCACGAGAGAGAGAGAGAGAGAGAGAGAGAGAGAGAGAGAGAGAGAGGGAGAGAGAGAGAGATGGGTGAGTGAGGGAGACAGACATATACACACCTGCACGCACGCACACACACACACACACGCGCGCGCGCATAGATAGACCGAGGGAGATAGAGATGGAGAGAGACAGACAGAGAGAAAAGAGGCCTCAAGAACACTAGGTAGACACCCATAAAAAGAAGCACTTAACAACCATTTACTAAAATCCTTCAATAAACACGTCTTATAGTTATAGAACAACCTTCTACCAGATGAAGGTGAGGAGTGGCTCTAAACTGTGACTCTTTGCGTGTGAGTCATAAAACCAAAGGTACCTACTCACTCTCGTCACCTGCTCATGAACTTCCATTGAGGAGTTACCTAAACACGAGATATGCTCATTGGTCTCCGTGACGTCAAACTCCTGCCTCCTCCAACGGGCAACGTTCGAGGAGTCGGAATTGGAAGCTTTTAACGGCGCCCATTGCAATCCAATTCACTCGGGAGTTGGACAAACAGCCACGCCTGCGAACGGAAGGGCCAGGGGCCGTAATGATGTATCATTTCCTGCGGGCATGACCAGCGTCCGAGGTATAGCGTGACGCGCCGGGTCAGGCTTGGAGTCAGGAGACAGGGGAAATCATCTTGATGACACCCTCCCACCACCCCCACCACTCCAAAACCAACCCACACTTTTTTCTCAGCCACCACACCTATTTGATTATACCCCCCCCCTACACACACACACCCCTACCCCTGCATGATCCTTCATTCTGGGGAAGGAGAGAGAGAGAGAGAGAGAGAGAGAGAGAGAGAGAGAGAGAGAGAGAGAGACAGAGAGGGAGACAGACAGAGAGAGAGATGGTTGGAGGGGGCCATCGTAGGGAGAGAGGGGGTAGAAGACAGAGAGACGGGGATAGCGAGAGAGAGAGAGAGAGAGAGAGCGAGATTTTAGAGCGGGAAAAAGTATGTAGCGTGGCGGAGGGTGAGAAAGTTTAGTGACATGCCCGACAGAGACAGAATGAAAAGAGGATGCATTTGAGTCCCTGTAATTAAAGATTGTGGTGTATTTTTTCTCTGTGTGAAAGAAGACGAAGAAAAATAGGAGACACCTAGTGGCATATAAAACGAGTCCTCATAGGAAGGCAAATATTATGGATAGAATGAGGAGAATGGGGAGAGGCAGGCCGCAAGAGGATCAATTTTGGCCCCTTCACCGAAACACCTCACCCCCCCCTTCCACCCTCCGG